CCTAGGTGTATATGGTGAATAAAGGCCTTCTGAAGCGAAGCAATGCGTTTGTGTAAGAAAAATATCCATATTTACAACTTTATAAATCTTAATCTCTAGCTTCCGCTAACTGTCGTACTCGTGTTCACGAGAGAGTGGTGTTCCAGCGGATGACGTAGCACGTAGGCAAACACAGTGATGAACGCGGAAGCGCAGAGGAGAGAGCAAAACAAAACATTTTAAAGATACAAGGATTTTTAAAGAAAAATGTTGGAGGCTTTCGATATAAGCCAAGAGGACACTGGTTTTCCTTTGCTGTAAACCAGTGATTCTCAACCCTGGTCCTGGGCGCCCCCCAACACTGCACATTTTGTGTGTCTCCCTAACACACCTGATTCAACTCATTAGCTCATTAGAAGAAACTCCAGGACCTGAAATGGGTGTGTCAGACAAGGGAGACATACAAAATGAGCAGTGTTGGGGGGCGCCCAGGACCAGGGTTGAGAAACACTGCTGTAAACAAATCTTGTTTCTCGCGAGACTAGCATATTTTCACCAGAGCTTACGCTACGTCTACGTCCTACGTCATCCCACTGGACGCCACTCTCTCGTGAACGCGCGTACGACAGTTAGCGGAAGCTACCATCCACTCCCATTATAAAGCATGGACTAGCCTGGAAATGATTTAATATAACTCCGATTGTATTCGTCTGAAAGAATATACACCTAGGGTGACTTGAGGGTGAGTAAATCATGGGGTAATTTTCATTTTTGGGTGAACTATCCTTTTAAGTTTACAAACATTTCCTTTACCTAAAACACCAAAAAAAAAAAGTGATTTTCAAACTACAGGTAAAACCTGGGTAAAACCTGAGAAAAATCTAAACAAAATTCTTAAAAATGAGTATTTTCTCAAAACAAACACAGAAAACAGTTTTAATACATGCTTAGACTATTTGTAATCATGTTTAGGACCTCGCATTTGTCGACTTTACAAGTTGCATTTTTGCAGATGTGTAGTCTCAGATTGTAAATTTTAGTGTAAGTTTAGAATAAAATTTAGTGAAAGCTGTGATGAGTAATAATTTATGTGTGACTGTTTACATTTGTGCACACAGATATGTGAATGAGAACCAGTGTCTTACTAGTTGATGCTGGATGGCAAGCTGATTTTACTTATAATTATTCTCAGGATTGAATTTTGTTAATTGACAGTTTGACTTTCAGTTATATCAAAACTCTTGATATGAGGAATAGACTTTTTGCTAGTAAAAATGTCATTTTTACTATGGCATCTCCAACAGTAAAAATGGGATTTTTTTTATATAAACAATTACATAATTACTCACAAATATACAAATTCTTGATATCAAAAATTTAATTCCAACTAGTCAAAAATGTGATTCTTGATGTCTGTAATTACATTTTCAATTGTGGATATCTATAATTCATATCTTGCAAGTGAATAAATGTTAAAATGGCTTGCCATATCTCTGTTCTCTATAATAATGTCTCTTTCCCAAAGTTTCCCAGAGAAAGCAATCATTCCACAGAGGTTGTGGACGGCACAGGAATCTCACCTTATACATGTTCACAAAACTCCTTGTCGCTGGTGGCAGGTATGTGGGAGCACAAGCAGCTTGATGTTTTGATCTGCTCAGACTTTGTGAATGAGCTGGAGGATTTTGGTTGCTTATTTAGTGTAACACCTAGGCTTTCTTTGGTTATAAACAGATGGAGATCTCTATGTGGCAGCTCCTCTGTACAGTGATGGAACCCTGCTGCAGTTTCGCAGAAAAGCTGGACAACGAAACAGCGTATGGATGTATGATCAATGGGTCTCAGGTTGGTTGAATTACACAATTTTCACTAAAATTAGTAGAAGAATTCTTATTTTATGTATAAATAGTTTTTTTTCTAATTGAGAACATCTCCAAATATCCCCAAAGAAAGCTTAGATCAGACTTAAAGGGATAATTCACCCAAAAATTTAAATTTGGTCATTATTACGTTGTTCCAAACCTGTATGAGTTTCTTTCTTCTGCTGAATATAAGAGAAGATATTTTGAAAAATGTTGGTAACCAAATAGTTGCTAGTCCCCATTGACTTCCATAGTATGGAAAAAATATCATCGAAGTCAGTGGCTACCAGAATACCAACATTGTTTGGATACCAACATTCTTCAAAATAATTCAAAATTTTGTGTTCATCAGAAGATAGAAATTAAGAATTCACTTCCAGAATAAAAAAAATCCTGATAATTTACTCACCTCCATGTCATTCCAAGATGTTCATTTCTTTCTTTTTTCAGTCGCAAAGAAATTAAGGCTTTTGAGGAAAACATTCCAGGATATTTGTCCATATAATGGACTTCAATGGGAGCCAACGGGTTGAAGGTCCAAATTGCTGTTTCAATGCAGCTTCAAAGGGCTCGACACGATCCCAGCCGAGGAATAAGGGTCTTATCTAGCGAAACGATCGGTCATTTTCTAAAAAAGAATAAAAATTTCTATGCTTTTTAACCACAAATGCTCG